GAACAGGCCTGCCATAAAGCAGCTCAAATGGGCTCAGGCCCAAGGGGATATGGGGTGGCCGTGAGGCGAGTCAGGGCAATGGGGAGAAGGAAGGGCCAAGATAACCTGAGTTCAAAGGAGAGCTTGGTTAGCTGTTGCCTGATGAGTCCATTGTCTGTCTAGATGGCTTGTGAGACACCAAAACAAAAAATGATGTAGTCCAGGAGTACCTGAGCCACCACATCTGCTGTTTCCCTGGAGACTGGAAACACGTCTATCCTCATGTAAAAGTGTCCACAAGTGTTAAGAGATAACGAAGTTTTTTATGAGTAGGCGTATGGGTGAAATTAATCTGCCAATCTTTGCCCAGTTGGTGTCCGTGAAGCTGGTGTAGAGACTGACGTATGTAGAGAACCCCTTGTGGGCTGGCCTGGGCACACTTCTGGCAGGAGAAGTGAACCTGTAAAATAGAATCTTGGAGATGGGTGGTATTAAAAGGGGCTCCAAGAAGTGGAACAAAGCTTTGGGGAAGTGGCTAAGGATATCTCCTCCCAGTAAAGGTGCTGGGCAACCCGGTATCCCTAAGAAAGAATGAGAGAAAAAATTGTCCTGCAAGAATGCAGGGCAGTGGCAAAGTTTTAAGTGGGGAGGAATGGGTCTCGTCTACCTCCACCCATAGCTGAAATAGGTGAGGAGAATGTAAGGCCCAAGTGAGAAGTCAGAACAGAATAGGTAGCTCCCTTGTCCAATAGAAAAGTAATGGATTTACCTGCTACCTGCAGCTTTACCTTAGGCTTGGATAGGGTTATGGGAAAAACCAAGTCTGGGCAGCATCAATCCTCTGCAAGGCTGAGACGTTTGAAGCCTGGCACAGTTTCACTTGCCGATGGTGATGAGGCTTGACCTCCGTGGCTTGGCATTGAGGACAAGCCCACATGGGGGCATTGTGATTTCCAGTGTCCAGGTTGCTGGCAGAGAAGGCACAACCTCGGAGCAGGTGTAGGGCAATATCGTGCTACGTGACCATTTATGCCACACTTGAAATAGGTTGCCTGTGAGGTTGACTTAGGCTGAGGTTTACCAGGATAGAGCCTTGTGACTGGTTTCCCTTGTCCCCATTCCTGTGACCGTAGGGCAGCTGCTAAGGCCTGGGCTTGTAGCTTTGCCTGTCGGGAAGACTCAGCTGATTTTTCTCGGGCATTAAAAACTTTAAAGGCCATTTTCACCAGTACTCGTATAGGAGTTTGGAGACCATCCTCAACCTTTCTTAACTCCTTGTAGTAATATGAGTGGTAGGGCTACTTTCCCGGCATCCGGCTACCCGCATGGCTAAGAGCGGCGGGTCAGGCTACGTCCTGCCACCCGGCTAGCTTTACCCGAAATAATTACACGGAAACTGTATTCTTTTAAACATTGCTTGGCCCATTTCTATCTAGCCTCTTCTCGGCTAACTCTCACACCTGGACTAGTCCATTTCTAGTGTAGCCCACGAGGTGGCTTACCAAGGAGATTCTAGCCTACGTCCATCCTGGGTCGGAGCTTCATCGCGTGTGTCTGCCTGGGAGCGGGCAGCATGGCGTCTCTGCTCCAGAGAGCAGAGCTGTCAGTCTGAGCTCACTTCCTTTTCCTCCCAGCATTCTGTTCTGTTTACTCCTCCCACCTATGTTTTAACCTATGAGGGCCAGCCAAGCAGTTTCTTTATTACTTAACCAATGAAATCAACAGATTGATATGACACTCCCACATCAACTCTTTTCTAATATCTGGTACTGACTGAGGAAAAAATGGGTAAGCAGAAGGATTAGTAGAAAAAGAACCTAGCTGCTTTTTTATCTGAGAGAGATTTGGAAGAGAAAAGGGAGCAAGCATGGAATGGGCTAGCCCAGTGTGCAGAGGAGTGGAGTGGTGAGGTAGGAGGGGGACGGAAAGGTTGAAGTTGACCTTGAACCTCCGAATTTGGAAAGGTGATGTGGGAGTCTTCTGCTTTGTGTTGATATCATTGGTTAAATAAAGAAACTGCCTTGGCCCTTTGATAGGACAGAAAATTAGATAGGCAGAGTAGACAGAACAAAATGCTGGGAGAAAGAAGCCGAGTCAGGCAGTCGCCATGATTCTCCCACTCCAGACAGACGCAGGTTAAGATCTTTCCTGGTAAGCCAGCTCGTGGTGCTACACAGAATATTAGAAATGGGTTAGATCTATATGTAAGAGCTAGCCAATAAGAGGTTAAAACTAATGGGCCAAGCAGTGTTTAAAAGAGTACAGTTTCCGTGTAATTATTTCGGGGCATAAGCTAGCCGTTTGGGCGGCCAGGCGCCAGGAGTGCAGCCCGCTGCTCCACTCACTACAGGAAGGGAGGGAGCTGGGGAGGGGCCAGTGCCTCTGGCAGCCTGGTGCTGTGAGACACTGGCTACTAAGGGTGGCGAAGCAAGAGCGCAGAGACTGGAGAGATGGCTCAGTGGTTAAGAGCATTGCCTGCTCTTCCAAAGGTCCTGAGTTCGATTCCCAGCAACCACATGGTGGCTCACAACCATCTATAATGGGATCTGGTGCCCTCTGCTGGCCTGCAGCATACACACAGACAGAATATTGTATACATAATAAATAAATAAATATTAAAAAAAACCTTGGACATATAAGCTCTGTCCATTTGTCTTTAAGGTGACAAAAATATATTTTTTTTTAGGTTTCCGAGGGTGGTAAGCTCAAGACTTAGTACATAGGGAAATTAGCCATTTGGGACAGATTGTATCAGACAGGCTCAGTTTTAAAAGATTTTTTGTAAGAGGCATTACAGGGGAAACAGCGGACCTGGCTTTGAACTATAAGTGCCCATTTTAAAGTCTATGCCCAACCACATGACCTAAGTCCACTCCAGCGCGTCCACCAAAATGGCTCTTAGGTCCTAATGGGGCCGTGGAAATTGAATGCCTGGCATCCCAAAACAAACAGATTTCCACCTCAGCCGAGCCCGGTCTTGCCGGTCTGACCTCCGCTGGGAATTGAACCCCTGACATGGGCTGCAACTTTGACAGGAATCTGAAAAACGACAAAAATACATACAAATGGGTCCCCCCAAAACCCAATGACATAGACAAGAAAAGGGACTCACCAAGATGCAGCCACTGTAGCTCAGAAGCCGGTTTAAACGTGGCATGGAGAATTCGAATTGTAGACTAGGGGGGCTTTCAACAAAGGCCTGTCCTGTCTCAGTGGGACCTCCAAGGTGTTAGGAATGTTTTCCTAATGCGAGCTCTCCCCCAATGCAAATTCCCAATCAAGCCAAATCAAAACAAGCCAAATTAAGAGATATCCAGGTTTAATGGGAGTTCTGCACTCTCGGATGGCCCTGATGGGGGAACCGGGAAGCTGTGCTATGTGACCGCCAGGAGGAAGAAAAGGAGACCATGTGTTCCTCTTTGGGGAGTTCACTTAAATATTTTTGGGAGTGGTCCTGACCTGGCCTGCTGGGATTTGGGGTCCAGAGTGCTAACTCTCAGGGTCAGGGGACTAAGATAGATGCAAGGGGCTGGGGCCTAAGCTCCAACTTAACAATTACCACTAAGCATGGCTGAAAATATACCTCTTTAAAAGGTTCTACCTCCAAATAGTATCAGGGTGGCAACCAAACCTTTAATACATGGACCTATGGGGGCATTTAAGATACAACCCAAAACAACAAGTTACATTTTTTATTATGTTGAGAAACAAAAGAAATTATAAATATAGATCAAAAAGAAAGAATTTTATTAAAAATTTATTGCCACAGATTTCGATGCTCATCGTTAAAATTAAATAAACAGAAAAACCCCACTTGTTATTGTTTTACTCTTATCTGGAATATTTAGTTCAAGTATTTCTCTATGACTCTTTAATTCACTGTATTCTATTGGTAGTGTTGACAGGTGTCTCCCATTGTGGTTTGCCCACGATAGTGTCTGCCCAGCGAAGGGACCGTGAATGGGAAGGTGGAGATCCAAGAGCAGTGCCCGCTTCCCCTATCTCCCGAGCAACCTTACTTCAGATGGATAGTCTGCAATCTGTTTCTACTGTGGTTCTTTCTGATTGTTCATTGTTACTGTCCCTCTTTTAATGACACGTTGAACTGTTCCAAACCCACTTGCTTCATTCTTTCTACTAATTTAATTTCAAAGGAGAAATTCTTCGGCCCAAATAAATAAGTACATATGGATGCACCCCAAAACCCTGATTCAACATGTTCAATCAACTGCTTCTACATGTTAAGATACGTTCTTAGGGAATGTCTACTCATAGATTTAAAAAAAAAAATAAAAATAGAGAGAGGCCAGCCAGTGAAAAACAATTAGTGAAGAAGTGACTGACTCTCATACCTGTTTACAAAGCCTTCTTTAACTTCTTATCAACATGTGCCAGCAGCTTTACTCTAAATCAAGACATATTGGTGAATATTATCAAAAATACACACAACAGTGAAGCAAACAGAATCCCCAGGGGTTGGAAATGCACCTAACAAACTCAGCCTCTTGCAAAATACCTTTATTATTCAGAATGGAACGGGGTTGTTCCACACACAGTGAGTCCTCTTCAGACAAGTCCAACAGAGCCTCCAGGGGCATTTCTTAGCCTCGGTGTGCTGCGATTGTCAGCATGTTTTTAGCTCGGACAGGTAAATAAGGAGGCTGCTGCAGCCACCATCTTGGTGCTGAAACCACACAGTGAAAACTTGGAGTTGCTCCTGCAGAAGTTTTTGTGCTGCCCCTGCCCCCGCCCCCACCCGGCTTCCCACCCCCATCTCATTTCTCTAAGCAGAGTTGCTTTGCTTCCCCAGAACAAATCTGGATTTACTTAATGCTGGTGTTTTCTGTTTTTACTGTTTACCGAGGACTCAAATGTTGAGTAATAGTACGGGTAACTCCTGTTTCTTACTCATAGCCTTGTATTAACTTACTTATGAGAAGAAAATCCCACCCCGTGTTTGCACTTGTTTTTTAAATTGACAAACACAATTTGACTTTGTGTCTGCTTCCCCCCTCTCCCAGGAGGATTTAGAGCTGCCCGTGGATGGTTCCGAAGTGATGGAGTCCACCACAGCGTCGGAAGTGATCAAATACGAGTATCACGTCTTATACTCCTGCAGCTACCAAGTGCCCGTTCTTTACTTTAGGGCAAGCTTTTTAGGTAAGACCATGTCTAAAGCTGAAAGTAAATTCATAAAATTTATATGCAAGACAGGAAATGTACTTGGAAAGTCATTCTTGAAAGGAAAAAAAAAGTGAAGTTAAAAATAAAAAAAAAAAAGCTGTGGGTGAGGTAAGGTTTTACCAGTAAAATTTCTCATGCTTCAGAAAGAAAATCAAGACTTCATAGTGAATGACATCATCCCCACCTTAAATCTGATCTTCATGGTTTTTGGCCTCTTGCCTGGAGTTGACTAAACACCCTGGCCCTTCTTGACTTTAAACAAGTACCAACAACTTAAGACTGCAATGTTTATTTACTTGTAACTTTGCAATAAAAATTTCTCTCTCTCTCAAGTGATGCCATTAGGTCAAAATCTCCTAAACTTCCTTCACCAATGGCTTACGATTACTTCAAGCAACGTTTATTAGTTAGCTTAAGGTGTACTTAAAAGTGGCAGTAACGTGTCCTTTAGCCATCTACACATCTCAGATGCTGTTACTTAACTCATTGTCCTGCCAAGAAGGTGAACACCCTGTCTCCTTGGAGGCCTCTGCTAATAAAGCTTATTTAGCGGCAGCCGCATGGTGTCCTCCGCTTGCAGCTCAGGGAGACTTGGAATATGCACAGACTAAACTGGGTCGGCTTCAGGATGCCTGTCCTGGCCCGGAGACTCCTCAGACCCAGCCCACCTCTTACCCCGAGTCTCCTTTTGTACCTGGCTTTCTCGGCTACCCTTTGCATTTGGAGGACACTTCTGGATAGCTAAGACATCTGAATTTAGCCAATAATATTTTATTTTTAATTAAAAAGTAGCTAAAGCTGCTTTCAATGTGTATGTGGTGGGCTAATCGCTCGCTGCCTTATATTGTTTAATGGTCTCTAGATTTTGCGGTGCTGGCAGCTTAACAAGCACTTAGGATTTAAAACAAGAGCAAATTCCCTGGCGAGAAGATTCTAATCTGAGGTGCAGTTCCTGAGAACTGACAATTTTGGGTAAATTTTCAACCTGGCACTTGAGGACACTGATGGTTTCCTAACTCTCAAGCCCTTACGGCAGACTCATCTGCATGGTTATTTCTAACCTTTAAAACAGTCGCCTTGTAATTATATTTGATTTGGAGTCCAGAGGTTAAAGAGGACTCCTTGTCTGTCACTGTCGCTGTGCTCTCTGCTAAAAGGTGGCGGATATATTTGTTACGTGGGGTAGAGGTAATTGGGGACTGCCTTTCTTGGTTCTAGTTTGCAGTGGTCTCTCTACCTAGCACTGTCTAGATTCAAAGGAAGTCGGGGCTGCAGGTAGAGGACACAGGAGGTGGTTCTGGTTCGTCAGTACTGTCTGTAAGCAGTCAATCACCAGAGACGCCTTCCCAGAGACAAAACCAGTCGTTTAGCTTGTCAGCATCAGGGGTGGGAGGTGTTGAAACATGGCCGCTTCTAGTTGGAAGTGGGTCTTGCCGAGGCTGGCGGATGAGCTCACACTGGCACTGTGCTCTGCGCGCGTGCCAACAGCTCCCCTTCCAGCACAGCACAGTGATTGTTCCTGCAAGTCCAATTATACCTTAATGACATTAGTGTGCTGCCTGCGTGCCTTTCTGCAGGATGATTTTAGTTCTTAAAACATACATACACAAGTAGCATTCACGGTTCTATTTATAGAGTTTAAGATGCCCTTCATTTGTGGCTTATAAAGAAAACCAAAGAGGTCATATTATTTTATGTGGAAACGTTTTCCCTACCTCTCATTCTGTCTTGTCTAAATTTTTTTTAGTTCTTTTTATTCCAGAATTCATTTAGTATTTGTTTAGACACATTAAAATATGAATTCATTTTTTATAAAGCATATCAAAATGTTTTCTTGTGGAGAAAAATGAAAAAGCTTCTTTCCTTTATCATTCTTGTACTTTTAATTTTTTGTTTTTACCTAACTTAAGCTCAGGGACATTCTAAAACTGTATCATTCTTCACTCATGAGTCATAATTTCTCATTTATTCTCTCCAGCCCAGTCCTTTTCATGGCCAGTTAGCCTGTTTGTGCATTAGCAATCCCTGATGGTGTGGAGTATGTATTCCTAATGTCTTCCTTATTTCAGGCCCACCGTTTTCTTTGTCTCCTTCTAAGATCCGACCTAGAAGCAGGATGATTGTAAAACTTCCAGCCCAAAGGTCTCTTCTTTTCTTTTTTTTTTTTCCTTTTTTTTTTTTGTTGTTGTTGATGCAAAAATAGTTCACTTGTCTTGTTTGTGATGGAAGTTAGAGTTTCTTTTGCGTCTGTTAATAAATATCAGTTTCTCTGCTTAAGTTTGGATTTTCTTTCTGCATCTTTTTTTATAAAGTGGGAAAGCAAAGCAGAGAGTTGGTGATTCCCATTGGCACTGATGTTGCCTCTGATAACTGGCTGAGATTTCTGCTGGATCGTTTTTGTTTCCTGAAATGCAGATCTCCTGTACTCTGAATTCCCTTTCTGCCTCTGTTATGACCTAGTATCTACCAAGACTCAGCTATGCTGCCCACTGCCCTTGATACTCCCATGTCCTATGTCATAGACCCATCCTAGGTGTCCTCTTGTCACCTCACAAACTGCAGTATAGTCAAGTGTCTGCTTATTTGCCCCCTACTAGATGATCCACAAACATATAAAAGTAGTAAAGGATTTTAATGTCATTACCTCCAGAGTGAGAAGCTTTGTTTGGGGACTCTGCATGGCACTAGCATGGCATTTTGACACGTACACACCCAACTCATCTTCCTAATTTTGTTGCAGTGTCAACTGTAGGGAAGCATCAGCAAATGCTTGTTGGATGAATCAATAGTGAAGAATCTCTAAGCATTTCTGAATATAGCCAAAAGACTGAAATATTGTGAGCACCGCCCTGTTCTGCTGCTGGGACAGGCCTTAAGGAAGAAACAATGCTGTCCTCTCCGGGAGGCCTAGGGTCCAAACCATATATCCATGCTTACAGTGTAATCTGTTGTGCCTTAGAGACACTAGAAATGTAGACAAAGAAAACTGCAACATCCCGCGGACCCAAAGCTTGAATCCAACCTAGCTGAGCAGCTGTGCTTTCTCTGTAAACACGTATCTTTATTTGATTCTTGATGGCACACAGCTAAGTTCAGATAGCATTTGACTTCTAGATGGCTCTGGTATTAATCAGGCCCATAGGACCATTGTTCCTTCTCCTCCTCTTTTATTTTTTTATCTGCTACTACTATGACTGCTACTTCTATTGAAAGAGGTCTCACTCTGTAGTCTGGGCTGTCCTGCTACTACACTCCTCATGCCGCGGCCTCCCAAAAGCTTGCTTACGGGTGAGCATCACCATGCCTACCCAGGAGCTTGGTTCCCAAAGGGAACCATGGACTGGGGAGAAGTAAGTCCTTCTCGGTGTACTGTTTCTCTGCTTTTGTCATTGTAGGTTTGGGCAGGGCAAAGTTAACAATGTTTGCCATCCAGTTTTTGAGAGGCTGCAAATATAAAGCATAAGCAGTCTGGTTTTGAGAAATGCCTTGTGGTCTATGAGTCTATCCCCATAGAGTCCCAGTATATATGATGGTGTTTACTTTTTCTACCTTTTCCACTTGTGTGGTGCTGGAGATGGAGCAAGGCCTTGCACGTGCCATCGTGTGCCCTTCTAGTTGGCCTGCCCAATGTTTTTGAAGCACTCTGTATCTGAGTCATTTGTACCATGACAAAGATACCTTTTCTCATTGTTTTTATTGTTTCATGGGCTTTTTATGTCCCACTTTTCCTTGATGGACTTGTCTGGTAGCAAATGGCAAATGTTGGAAATGGGGCTTAAAGAGTCTATTTATACCAAATGCCCTTGATCTCACCAGAATCATGGTTTAAACATCCATCCTGACTTCTTTACTAGAGATTTTTATATTTATTCTAGATTGAATTCTGACTTATTTATTCCATTTCCTTTTATTTCTTTCCCTTTGTTCTTAATCTTTATTGAAAAAATGGACCAAGTAGATCTTCTCATTTTCAAATATTTAATTCTTTGGTTGACATAAGTGTTCTTTTTGGGAGCTGTTTTGACATGTTTCCTTATTAGTCAGAAAGACTGCTTTAGATTAGGGAAGGAAACATTTCTCCCATTCAGCAACTGAAGGCTATCTCATTGGCCCTGAAAGGAAGGATATAGAATTTAAAATGCACCTTAGATACTTCATGTGAGAAATTTGTTCGGTTATTATGGGCTTAAAAGATGCTCCCAGAGAAGGGAAATGAAATAAATAGCCAAACAACAGTTCCCTCTCAAAGGTAGGATAAAACAAGGCAAGAAAAGGCTAAGACAAGGAATAATGAAATTTGAAATTCAAGTGCATGTATTGTCAAGGTGAAGACAGAAGAGCGTTCTTCAGGATTCAGAGCATGAGGCGGTGTAAGAGGAAACTTTTTTTTTCCATTTTTTTTATTGAGAAAAGTAGAAAAAAAAAAACAAGTTTCCACCTCCTCCCAGACTCCCATTTCCCTCCCCCTCCTCCCACCCTTCTCCCCCTCCCCCCACTCCTCTCCCCCTCCCTCTCCAGTCCAAAGAGCAGTCAGGGTTCCCTGCCCTGTGGTAAGTCCTAGGTCCTCCCCCCTCCGTCCATGTCTAGGAAGGTGAACATCCAAACTGGCTAGGCTCCCACAAAGAGGAAACTTAAAGGAACAAGAAAGATGTGAGTTGGAAGGAATTGGAAAGTGGAAATCAAGGACTCACAGCTGTGTCCCAGGACTTCTGGGGACAGCGGGGTGGGGTGGGGAGCATAGCCAGCTTTGGAACAGAGTGAGCAAGGCATGTCTGGATATCAGTGCAAAGCAGTGCGGTTCATGGGTGTCTCTTAAGATAAGCATGGAAGAAATGGTTGAAAAGATAAATGGGGTCCAGTTATGGATGAGCTAATGGCTAGGAAGGAGTTGAGGCTACAAAATGAGAAAGAAAGTGCACTGCATTGTATGTCCTGGAGATGAGAAGACAGATGAGCAAGTGAAGGATGAGAGTGGG